ATTATAAATCATTGCTAATTTCGATCCGGATATCGTTATTCAATGCTGGCCTTTGCGTCCTCAGAAAAGTTGTTTATAGTCATGAAGGCTTGCATTGCCATTGACCCATACTTTCCATTTTTCAGCACCATTATTCGCCGTAGTTGACCAGGTCTTTTTCTTCAGCTCTCCCCTGAATCCGTTGGCTTAGACCTGGCGTATCACCCGTGCATCGCAAGACGCATCTACCACACACAAGTTCATGATCCCCACGAACCCACATCAGCGTCCGTTCGCTTGGTGTGTGACCCCTTGACCTTTGGCCGCGACAACTGCCAGCTTGCTGGAGCACCCCTCCCTACACGCGCTGCCCCGCCCGCTCCCCTCCCTCCCCCCCCCCGGGTCGTGTCACGAAGGTTCGGGCTTACGCTACTACCGGCCGCTGCGCAGCTGCCACCTAGCGCTTGGGAATGTATGGTCTGGTGCGGATTCAGCCAACTACCGGCTCGCGACACCAGCGCCACGCAGTGGCGACGGTACATTCTTTTTAGATACACTGTACACAAATCACTCAGTCCACTCTACTCCATTGCACGTTACATACTATACCAAGGCCCATTCTGGACCAAATTTACAAGACGTATATAAGACCTTACTTTGACTGCTGTAACACAATATATGACGGACACATAAAAATACAAGACGCTGCCGAACTTGACACGCTACAAAACAGAACAGGGTGACTTGTGACGGGGGCTATGTTCAGGACGTCAACCGAGAAACTTCTACAAGACTTGGGCTGGGAGAAACTGACTGTAAGACGACAAATACACAAACTCACTTTATATCATAGATTCACTAATCCAAGACACCAAACGCCATATTATATCACGATGATAATGCCAGAAACACGTGCAGGAAACGCCGGCAGAACACTACGCAACTCCAACACTTACACCATGCCTCCCAACCGGACCAAATCCTTCCAGAAGTCCTTTTTCCTCTCAACAGGCAAATCCTGGAACCAGCTTTCCGAAACCATCCGATCCCTTCCTCCTCGTTCCTTTCAACGGATTCTCGAGGCGACTGAGGGTGCCTGGGCCTACTTCGTATTGCAAAAATTGGCACTAAAATGGGCAATATTTTCCATTCCAGGCTATGAATGCAAATGTCACAACTAAATTCACATTTATTTCAAATACAAAGGCATGATACACCTGAATGTGCTTGTGGCTTTGAAACAGAAAATATTCATCATTTCATTCTCGCGTGTCCCAACTATAATTTGCAGAGAGAGGAACTTTACCGGGACATGTTGCAAATTTTTGGCGAAAATTTTGGTCAAATGTCAACTTCATGGTTATTACGTGTTCTTTTGCATGGCGACGATCTTGGCGGCGGGGACTGTCGTGCGGTGGCTCAGCATTTCCAAAATTTCTTGCTTCGTTCGCACAGATTTACCTATTAATTTACCTACCTCATTCTGTTTTGTGGGCGGCGTCCCCGGTGGGCTGAGTGACGTCAGCACGGGTTGGGTCGGTGGCCTGTCGTGGCGGCGGCAGTGGTAGTTTTGTTTGATTACGCTACGTTACCTTCATTACGTTGTATGTTAATGTTATATTCGACGTTGATCTGAAGGCTATGTTCATGTTGCTTTATGTTTATAATGTCTATCTGATTATGTTACAAGAGGTGGTGCCTAGATTCAAGCACAATGTGCTTTTGCACCACTCTTATATTTTTTGTTTGTTTTATCTCTGTTATTCATGTTCATTTTCCGATCGTTTTACTAGGTTGTCGATGCGCAATAAACATTCTGGAATGGAATGGAATGGAACGAGCAAAACTGCTATCTCAACTCCATTCCCCATGTTAGACATGAACATGTCCCTTTAAGAAATGTTTTCTTGTGAACATCGCTGTACCTATGTGACTAAATTTTTCTAAATGTTCGTTAGTTTAGCCAATAATTATTTGAGCTAATTTGTAGAAGTGAAAATAATCGGGTTTGTCACCCAACCACCGTTGGAAACCGACAGTTAAGCATTGGAAATGAGGTTGTGCATGAATGCGTTCCATTTTGCCACCGTTTATTTAAGCTGATTGTGTCGTTGCAGGCTGTGATGGCGCTTCTGCGGCAAAGGTGGTGCCATCTGTCCCGATTGTGCTGGCACAGCGCTGTCACCAACCGGACGATTGACCAATCTATACCAATCATCACCCGCCTGCTTCACTGCTCGCTGCCCGTGGTAAGACTGCCTTTTGGTCTTCAAAACTTCTTTCTTGACGCGCGTCCTTCTGGGAGGGAATGGGAGCTGTTGGACGCTCTCGGAAGTTCAACCGCTGCAGACTGCTGCGCCATTGTGAATCATTGGGAGCGGGCTGTAGCCATTCTTATAAAGAAAAGAACGGAGGGACGCTCCGTCATTTCTGAGATTAGACGGAATTTGGTTATCATAAAAGGACGAAGACGGAAGACGGAACCCGTTCAAAGAACGAAGCCAGATTGACGCTACCCCCACCCAAAAGGGCGCGTTTACGTATCATAAAGAGACAAAGACGCCTCTGGTCAGGTGGATGACGGCACGTGATCGCCTGAGGCGGTGGGGGGGGGGGGTAAACATATTTTCGTCATTTAATGCTCAATTCAATCGCTGCGACTTTTTACAAGACCTTCTCCCCGTCGTTGTTTCTTGCTTTCAACGACTGGTCCCTGAGTGATGACTTTACTCACGCAAGATACGATGAATGGAGCCCAAATTAAGCCCAAAAAAGAAATCGAAAATAATACAATACACTTCTTTTGAAGGAGATGAATTGAATGGTTTCAGAGCCTCACGAAATACGTTTCAGATATGACGCGTCACACAAACTGACGCATAAAGACTGTGTTCAAAAGCGTGACCGCGAGCACTTGTTGACGAATGAAAAGCGTAGGTACTGCCCGGTCGCCATAGCAACTAGTAAGCGTCACAAATTTCGAACACTATCCGAGTGCGCCAAGTTCGACTACATCGAGGACGATGGATGATAGTTGCCAGCTGATTAATCTAATGAAACGCGAATAAATTCAACTTTTGTTTGAGATTGCGAGGAAATATGTGTTTGTTAATTTCAAATATCATTGAATTAGTTTTTGTAAATAAATTAACTACAAACGCCTCTGCGCAAAGTGTTTCAAAGAATAAATCAAGGCTTATGAAAATCGTGAGGAGGGTTGGGAAAAGCAGGAAAAAGGGTCACGTGACTGGTGTCCCAACCTTATCTGTAAGAATCTTGCCTCTGGTGACGTAAGACTTTGCGTTGTACGTGAAAAATAACCCATCAGAAATAGCGCTGCTCTTCAGCAGGACTTTTTTACTGCATTGGTATGAACTCAAGCTGTTTACGAGAGAAACTTGTGCAGATGTGTTTCAGGCTGCAAGTTTATCGATATGCGACACTGTATGACCTTGGTTGCGAGTTTTTTTTTTAAACATAGAATAATGATATTTTGAGGACAAGACCACATAGAATAATGATATTTTGAGGACAAGACCAAGCGGAGAAATAGCGCTGCTCATCAGCAGGGCTTGTTATCGCACCGCTCCAGTGTGTACCTGTTTGCCAGAGAAACCTGCGCGGAATTGTGTTTCAGGTTGTAAATTAGCCGATATGTGACAGTCCAGCGGCGTCACCACGGTTTCAGAACTTCTAGGGACACTTTTCCAGGGCGTCGCCACAAATCTTTGCTTGAGTCTGATCGCTAATACCCACCTGCCCCCAAATCTGCGTTCCTCGTTGGATTTCGGCCACTTTAATTTAAAAACTAGGGGGAATAATTAATATTTAGGTGTAAAAACGAAAAAGTTACGCGGTAGTCGACATATTCTTCGATCATGAAACGCGTGCCCACATCCTTCTGCATGTGACACAATAGCATGCATTAAATCTTATAGTCGGCTCAAATAGCTCATCCTTGAGCTGCTCCACTTTTTGGCTTAGCCCTTCTTTCATTGCCCTCCAAGACAAACGGCTCAGTCCATCCACGTGCGGTATTTCGGGCCCCGGGCGATGCCGCACCTCGAACTCGAAATCGAGCACGAGCAGCCTCCATGCTATGTTTTAGGGCGTTGCCTCAATGCATCCCTCACAAGTCGTCAGGAGCATTTGGGTTCCGTTGTGGCCTGGAGCAGGTACCTGAGAGCGCTGTTGTCGTGTATGAAATGCCGACCGTCAAGGTAGTAGAAGAACTTCTCAAAGAGCAAAGACGACCACCAGGCTCTCTTTTACCAGTATAGGCTGCGGCAGCTCGGACGGCGTCATCACCCGGTTAGCGTAAGCTATAAGGTGAGAGCCATCCTCAAACTCCTGATGCAGTGCCGCTCCCAGTGCTCGTCAGCTCGCGACGGTGTAGACGTGAAATGGGTATTTACCCGAGAAGTCGGGGTACCGGAGCACCGGACTCTCGCATAAATACGTGGGGTGAATGAAAAGTTTTGAGCCTAACACAGTTACAGGTGACGCAGGTTAATGAAAATTTGGTCACACATTTTGCCACTATACTTAGGTGTGTACACCAAGTTTTGAAGTCCTAGTCCTTTTCGTTTCGTTTTCAGAGCTCGTTAAAGTGAAGAAGATTCCGCGTTCGGTGAAAAGGGCGAAAATCGAGAACCGAGCTTTTATAAAGTATTGCGATTTCAAAGCCATGTCTTCATCTGAAATTAAAAAGGACCTGAAATTAAACTTATTGGTTGTGGCCCATCATATGGATGCTGGATCCAAGACTGTGACCTCATCAGATAGCGGTAAGAATGGACATCTCCCAGGAGCAGGCTGGCGACATTCTTACTAATGGGTATGGCATGGAAAAGGTCTCTGCTCATTGGGCCTCTAGGCTTTTTGCTACAGAGCACGACGAGAGATGTGTAATGACATTTGGCGCTAGTTGAAACAGATTCTGAGAATTAAAAGTCACTTTTCGCCACCGCTGATAAACGGCGGGTGTTTCACTTCAATCTAGCATTGGAAGAACAGTGGAGTCAGTGAAAGACCGTCTCTACTCTAATCTGAAAAATTAAATGTCACGAGTCACAACAAGGAGGAAAGTGTAGCGTCGTCTCTCAGCTCGGCCCGTCCAGCTAGAGATGACCTTCAGAGTAGAGATGTATTGGGCGACCAAACGGCAGGACGGCACAGCCAGGAATGAATAGCGCGCCAAATGACACACGTGACATAACCACTGTATAGAGGGCAGCACACACTACCCAACACCACCCCCTGCTAAATAAGCGCCCAGCTACCGAACAGTCCGAACATAAGCAAAACAAACAGAAACGTAGCCACTGATGTGCATATGTACGACTATCAAAACACTAACCCACCACCAAGCGGTCGGGCTCACGTCGCACCCGCGACGAGCGCCGCAAGACCGGCACCGCATCCGAACACTCGGCCGGTGACGCAGTGTCCGCGCCGCGCACATCGCACGTGCCACGTGTCAGAGTCTCACGTGCAGGCACCCCGGCCGGCCCAGGGGAGTCGGGCGGCGGCGGCCGCTCAGCCTCGGGCGGCGGCGGCCGCCCAGCCTCCTCCGGCCCCGGAGACGGCGCCACCACCGCAGCCGCCGGCACCGAACCCGTCGCCCCCGCCGATCCGCTCGCTGACGGCCCAGCGGCCGGCGCCGGCAGCGTCCCGCACATGGCGGCGTCCAGCGGCGTCCTTGCGCGGTCAGGCCCGGCGATGTCCTCCGGTGTCACCCCGCGCCCAGACTGCCCGGCACGCAGCAGCTGATCGGCGTGACGGCTCCAGCAGGTGTCCCCGAAGTCCACCTCGTAGGAGACAGGTCCCGTCTTGGCAGCGATACGCCCCCTCCGCCACTTGGGTCCAGAGAAGCTGCGAGCCCAGACGTCCTCGCCGATGCCGAACCCGCGCAGCTCGCCGCCAGCTGTCTCCGCCATCCGCGCCTGGTAGTCGACAGCCATCTGCGCACGGTCGGGACGAAGAAGATCGAGCCGGGTCCTCAGAGTCCGGCCGAACAGCAACTCCGCCGGCGACCTCCCCGTGGAAACCTGCGGAGCATTGCGGTAAGACATCAGAAATCTGGCCAGACGCGTCGCCAGACTCTGACCATCCTGGATGCTCGCTTTCAGGCTGTTCTTTACAGTTTGAACTGCTCTTTCCGCTGCGCCGTTACTGGACGGATGGTACGGAGCGACTTTGATGTGACGTACACCGTTCATCATCATAAACGCTGACATCTCACGAGAAGTAAACTGTGGTCCATTATCTGACACAACTTGCTTTGGCAGACCCAACCGCGCGAACAAAGACCTCAGTTCATCGATGGTACGTTCGGCGGACACAGTTTTCATAGGGATGGCCTCCAACCACTTTGAGTAGCTGTCATGGGCCACAAGAAACATGCTGCCCTGAAACGGCCCAGCAAAGTCGACGTGAACCCGTTCCCACGGGCCCTGGGTGGGTTCCCACGGGTGCAAACTTGCCTTTGGAGGCGCCGCGCGTTTCTCAACGCAGGACCCGCAGACTCTGGCGAAGCTCTCCAGCTCGGTGTCGAGTCCGGGCCACCAGACATACCTTTTGGCCAGCTGCTTCATCTTCCCGGATCCCAGATGTCCAGCATGCAGCTCCTGCAACACTCTGTTGCGCATTTTTGTGGGCACAACCACCCTTCCGCCCCACAGTAAACAGTCCCCATCCGTAGAGAGCTCGGTAGAGCGCTGTTTAAATGCTCTAAACTCGGGCTCCACTACAGAGGGCCATCCCGAACGAACATACGTCAGAACTCTCCCCAGAGTGGAGTCTCGTCGGGTGAGCGTCTCCACCTCCTGGGCCGACAGAGCTGGTCCTTCCTCCTCCCAGTGCCGTACCAGGTACACCTCTTCCTCTTCCACAGAGTCTCCGTCGGCTCCAACCTGCGGCAGTCGCGACAGAACATCAGCCAGCCCCATGTTCTCAGACTTCCTCAGCTCGACCTCGTACGAGAACGCCGCGAGCTGAAGGGCGTATCTCTGCATACGCGCAGCTGACAGTGCCGGGAGCTCTCTCTGTGGGTTCAAGATGTGAGACAGAGCACGGTTGTCGGTCACGAGGTGGAAGTGCTTACCATACAGGTACTTGCTGAATCTCCTGACACCGAAGGATACTGCGACCGCCTCCTTCTCTACCATGGCGTACTTCTGCTCCGTCGCTGTCAGCGTCCGCGAAGCGAAGCACACCGGTCTCTCTGTCCCGTCTGGAAGCACATGGACGAGAGCTGCTCCAACGCCATTCCATTCCATTCCAGTGTATTTTAGTAAACAAGGATCAAATAAATGTACAGAGCAAATAAGGGATCGGCGCAAAAGCATCGCTTAAATTAAAGCGCCTCTCCGAAGAAGAACATAAGATTGACAATGCTAACCTAACCGATACCTGAGGCCAGACGACGCTAGCCCCGCCAGCAACCCTCCGAGCAACAAACGAACCGGGTCAAGGCGCCCGGGCCCGAGCGACAGCAGCTAGGCCAGCGTGCTTGGGTGTGAGTGGGTTACCTAGTGTTGGGTGTTAAACCGGCGTGAGTGTGCGATGTATGAGTGAATGTGGAGAGCAACAAGTGTGCCCTGGGTTTCAGAAAGGTCGTTTCCATATAGAAGAATGTTAAGCTTCTGTCTACTTGGTAAGTTGTCAAAATTTGGAACGATTGGTCGAACGGCGTTAAAGAGTATTTGCCTGTGGTTTGTGTAAAGGGGGCACCAGAGCAAGTAGTGTGCTGAGTCTTCGTGTTTGTAGCCACAGGAACACGCTGGAGTTGGAGTGAGTTGGAGTGTGAAGAGATGTGCGTTGAGTGTAGCTAGGCCGACACGTAGTCGTGTGTGTTGTGTGTTGAGTGTCTTGGTGCCAAATGAGTGAAGTGCTGGTGGCTCTGGTGCCCCATATCGCTGCCAGACTTGACGAGAGAAATCGCGGGGAGATCGGGTGTCTCGAAGCGATTCGGGAAGAAGGTTCCATTGTCGGATGGTGGCAGGGATGTAGGATCTGCGGAAAGAGGTTAGACGGGTGGGCGGGAGCGATAGGAGTCGTGCGTTGCGCAGTCGAAGTCCTGTGGCGTCTTGTCTTGTGTCTGTCAGAATATTTGTGGGGTATGAGGGAAGAGGGGGGTAGTTGTAGTAAAGACGATGAAAGAATAGTAGCTTGTGAATTTGTCTCCTCGTCTCTAGTCGTTCCCACCCCAAGTCTTTGAGAAGTGCGTCAGTCGGTGTTCGAAATAAGGCCCCGGTCACAAGTCTTGCACATCGATTTTGTAATATCTGGAGTCGCATTATGTCGTGTGAGGTGATGTTGCCGTCAAACACAATGTCACAATAATCAAAATGTGGTCTAATGTACATGGTATATATTTCGTTGAGAGTTGTTCTGGATAAAAATTTGGCAACTGGGTAAATTGGCCCTAGAAGAGAGTTGACTGTCTTTATTACGTAATTAATATGCTGGTGGAAATGTAGGTCAGTGGAAAGGTTAAGTCCAAGATGTCTATGTTGAGTAACTGGAGTCAGTTGTTTTCCATCGAAATAAAGTGTTAAGTTGTCATTTTCTAGTCTGTTGGTAAAGGTTTGTCGTACCGTCTTGTCAGCATTAAATGTTATGGCCCAGTCTAATCCGTACTGTCGTATTAAGTCAAGGTCTCTTTGTAGTGATTGTTCATGTTGCTGGCTGTGTGGTGGATGTGCTAAATATAGTGAAGTGTCGTCCGCGTAAAATAGTGCTTCGTTTTCTGTTCGGTCGGAAAGGTCATTTAAGTACATCAAAGCGAGCAGAGGTCCAAGGACCGAGCCCTGGGGGCAGCCAGCCTGTATTTCTTGTGATGCCGAAATGCTAGATTCAACTCGAACAACCTGACTCCGGTGTTTAAGGTAAGATTTTAGCCATGCCAATAAGTTCCCTGAGATGTTGTATTGAATTTCGCATTTTTCAATGAGTCCTTCGTGCCAAATTTTATCAAAGTACTTTGAAATATCCAGGAAGATGGCTGTGAAGTCCTTGTTTTCGTTTAATGCTGAGTATAGTTGATGCGATAGATAAACAAGTTGGATGTGCGTGCTATGGCTTGGCCTATAGCCGCTTTGTTTTTCAGTCAAAAGATCATGCTCTGAAAGATGTTCATATATTTTATTGAAAACCAATTTTTCAAGAATTTTTGAAATGTTCGGTAGAAGGCTGATAGGTCGATAATTGATTGGGTCGGAACTGGAACCTTTACGTTTGAATATGGGTGTTACGCAAGCTTTTTTCCAAGAAAGGGGAAAGTTGCCTACTTGCAGAGATTTATTATATAGTTTACAGAGGGGGTTTGCTAATAAAAGTGCACACATTTTGAGTAGTTTGTTTGGGATTTTGTCGGGACCTGATGCTTTGTTTGCATCTAAGGAATTTAGAATTTTGAGAACCTCGAGCTCGGTCACCTGGACCTCCGCAAGCTGGGGAGTATTGGGTATTTGGAGGACGTTCTATATTTATTGAAACGTATACAGGTATGTGATCGATATTGGAGAAGGGAGAAAGAAGTCCAGAATCTTCAACCATCAGTTCGTTAGATATTACTATAAGATCCCTCAAATTTGCAATTTTGCTTGTTTCCATGTACCGAGTGGGTTCATTTATGAGTTGTTCAAGGTTGGAAGAAGAAATTTCATCATGGAGGGCAATCTCGTAGGGTGATATTGGGCTATGGGTTGAAAATCTCTGATCGAGAAATGTGTTGCCACCAGTGGCGGCGGATTCGATTTTGGCGTGGGGGGGGGGGGCAAGATCCCAGTCGAGATGATGTCATAGGCGGATCCAGAAAGGCGTTTTCGACGCTGTAGGGGACATACCCCCCAAAAAAAAGTGTCCAAAATCCAAAAACTCCTCGGATTTCGATTCCTTACGGACCTACTGCTGAACAGTATAAAAAAAAATCCTGATAAAAATGTTATTATTAGGAAACATAAGGTACGTTTTGTCTATTTCGGGCGATGCAGGGACCAGGGGGAGGGGGAGTAAAAATTTGCTTTAAATACCCGCTCCCTGGATCCGCCAGTGGACGATGTAACGCATTTCGTATTGCTGTATTAGAAAAAAGCTCCAATGGGAAAAATTGTGCCATAACCCGATCGCATATCAGATGTTGAAGAACGGTGCCAAACCTTTTGAAGTAGGCGAGCGCTACTCTTCAATGAGGTAACTCGTTACCTACCTCCTCTGTTCATTTTACGTTGGATTTTCGTTTAACTTCCTTTAAAAAGTATTTCTGAGACAGATATCAACTGAAACTAGCTCACAGCGGGAGGAGACCGCTCAAACATTCAGAGACAGTCGGTCGCATCTAAACCTATTGGGACAGCGATCCGCCAGAAACCCTCCCCAAGGCAGTAGTTCGCCAACTAAGCTCACCGAGACGGGCTGTCTCGATGGGCTTATACACTATACAGTAAGCCTACAGCAAGGCTTAACTAAGGCCCAAACGCTCGTCAATGAGCTGGGAACAGAGGGCTGAGGTGAGGGAGCGCGGCGGCGGGCTGGGGTGAAGGAACGGTGGACTGGAACGAGAATCCAGAAGCTCTGGGTGGGGCGTTTCTTTATTAGGGCTTTAGGGTGCGCTGACTGCGGTAAGGTCCAAATCATCACACCAAATTTTGCCATGACATCTACCGGTTCAGGCACTCGAGAATCAGCGGCCAGTGATATCTGCAAAGACGAAGCATTTCCAACCCAGCTTCAGCCTGGTGTCAGGGCGCCGCAGGTGGCTTTTATTACAGTTGCACATATCAAACGACCTCAGTGCAGCAAGTCTGTGGCCGAAACCATTCGGTACAGACTTCAACGAAAAGTGAGACAAGGTTAGTGCTATCGTGAAGTGCCATTATAGACTTGGGCCCCGTTGGCTTGACCCACTGGAAGGTGGTTATCGGACGCTGCGGGGCATACTCATTTTTTTCCAAAATGCCTTAGATTTTGCTTTCGTGCTCATGGGCGGCGGAACGGGGAGGGCACCGGGGCACCGTGCACCCTCCTTTTGATTTTGGCATTTTAACGTTAGCCCTATGGGCGTTGCATGGAAAGAATGGGACCAAAAGTCGGCAGTGCCCCCCCCCCCTTAATTGAAGGTGTTCCGCCGCTACTGTTCGTGTTTGATGCTCTTTATTCTATAGCCAGCCTTACGACAGAGGGGGGCCCACTAATGATTAGTGCCCAACCCTCAAAAGTTTCCAACATTAATTTTTACTTTTTTAATGGTGAAAACTGAAATAAAGCGGATATTGAACTGTGAACATCCAGTTTTTACACTGGCCCCACACAAGCCTCCGAATGCCCAAAGCAGATCTCTGATGACTGGCCTTTGGGTGTCATACCATACCGTGCATTGGTCAATGTGGTCAATGTGTACGACCTCGGCGTTTACCATTTTATGCGCTGGAAACTGTTGCGCTCGAAAAAAATCAGGGGAGTGGCTTATTATGAGCGCTCATCAGTCCTAACTACCCGCAAGCGAATGGCTAGCCCTTCCGTCTCCGCTCGCTTGCGATTTGGCATTTATGTAGGTACAAAATAGCGGCAAACGACCACTGAAGGTATGAGTTGCGTCTCTCGCACACTTAAAATATATATAAATCGAATCTGAAAAGACAAAAAAAAATGATATAAAGCGGAAATGGTTAGCATTTACACATATTCAAAAGGCACCGTTGGACAAACTGTAGGAGCGCAGAGCTGCAATATGGTTATGAAAATTACCACATGCAATAGAAAATATGCAATAGGTTACGAAAATTTTCCTCATGTTTAGGGCACAAATTATGGAGGGGCAAGAATATACGTTTGCCCCTCCTCCAAAAGTTTCTTAGGGGACGGTGCCTCCTCTGCCACCCCGTACCCGTCGCCCCTGTAAGCGGTCACTGAAGGCCTGGGCTGCCGCTGCGTGACGTTGACGCTTATAATGCCTCCAAAACTAGGTTGAAGAGAGGAAAACTTCAGTTGAACGCGAACGTTTGCCATTTAAGAAAGGCAACGTATGATAAAGTATATGGGCATCTGGTTACATCTTCAGATGATCGAACAGAATAATCAGCTATGTGGTTTCTTGTCTAAACTTTGTCACAAATTATAGGGGGGCAAAAAGATACTTTTGCCCCCCCCCCACGAGTTTGCCAGGGGGGGGCAGCTGCCCCCCCCCCCCTGCCCCCCCCCCGAATCCGCCGCCCCTGGTTGCCACCATTGAAATCCCCTGTAATTATTATATTGTTTGGAGAATATATTCTTGCTAGGGCAACACTTTCTGACATTTTATCAAGGATTGAGGAATAGTTGTCTGATGTCTGGTTTGGTGGTACATAAATTGAACATATAATAAGGGATATCTGGTTTATTTTAATAAGACACCAAATCCACTCTACACCAGGGGATTCAAGTTCGACGAGTCTTTTGACAGGGAGATTGTCACGCACATAAATGGCAACACCACCTCCATGTCTGTCTCTGTGTCTTGTCAAGGGACTATGACAACGCTGCTTGCATCAGTGACGAGCTTGAGAGGGAGGGTCAGGTCAAATCTCATCAGCACACTTCCACTAGTCAGCACCCTCTTTACCTGGTCCAAAGACGACTGGCACGCTGCCGTCCAGCGCCATACCGCCCCCTTCTTGAGCAGCGCGAAGAGCGGCGCCAGCATCGAAGCCAAGCTGGGGACCAGGCGCTGGTAGTAGTTTACTGAACCCAGCAGCGCCCTCAGCTCGGTGACGTTCCTCGGCTCGCGCATGCCGACCACTGCTGCCACCTTCTCTGGAACAGGCTTCAACCCGTCTGCAGAAATGATCCACCCCAAGTACTTGACCTCTCTTATGTTGAACTCGCACTTCTCCCTCTTGAGTCTAGCCCCGTGCTCTTTCAGCCTACCCAGAACCCTGTCAAGGCGCCTCAGGAGGTTGCTTCGTTCTCACCCGTCACCAACAGGTCATCAAGATACGCCACACAACCATCAATGCCTTCCAAGATCTGATCAATAGCTGACTGGAAGATCCCACAACACTCACTGATACCGAAGGGCAGCCGGTTCATGCGCAGCCTCCCGATGTGAGTGGTCACCGTTGTGATGTCCTTGGAGTCGGCTTCCAGCTCCTGCTGCAAGTAGGCGTCTCGCAGGTCCAGCCTCGCGAACACCTTGCCCTGGACACCTGCGAAGACCTCCTCCGGCGTCGGAGTGGGATGTCTCTGCGGCACGATCTGGGGGTTGACGGTCAACCTGTAGTCAGCACAGAGACGTACGCCATCTGCCTTCGGAATGGGGACGAGCGGAGTCCCCCATCCCGAGTTATGACTACTGTCAACCCTCTCCGCAATCCCCTCTGAGACCCAGCGGTTGAGCTCCCTCTCCACAGCAGACCTGAGAGCGAAGGGGACCGACCTGGCTGGGTAATAGACCGGTTGGGCCCCATGTTTCAGCTGCAGGCGCGCTCTCACGGACAGCTTCCCCAGCTCCTCCGTGAACACATCAGCGTGCCGCTGCAGCACCTGGTCTAGCGACAGGTCAATCGTCTTTACCTGTGCAGGTGACTTCAGGCCCATCTGAAGTGGACCGATCCATTCTCTCCCCATCAGAGGCTTGTGAGGAGGCAGCTTGCTGACGACCAGCCGAAGCATCTTCTGCTGTCCACGCAGCTCCACGCTCACGTCATGAGCTGACAAATGTGGGGTTCGCTTTGACTGAGTGAGCTGTCGGACTTGGTGGAAAAGAGCCTCTGACTGATCATCGAGTCATTTCCAAACACACAGATCCAGCGTTACCGCTGGCGTCTCGCTGGTTTCCCCAGATTCTCACGAAAATTTCCCTTTTTTTAAGAATAATTTCCCTAGATGCGGTTATTTTCATGGAATTTGATGTACTTTCCTCATTTTAACCATTCGTGTTATAGTCAGTAGCGGCGGAACACCTTCAATTAAGGGGGGGGGGTCACTGACGACTTTTGGTCCCATCTTTCCATGCAACGCCCATAGGGCTAATGTTAAAATGCCAAAATCAAAGGGGCACGGTGCCCCGGTGCCTTCCCCGTTCCGCCGCTTATGGTTATAGTCGCTGCGTCCTAAAACAGCAATTAACTACATTCTGTTACGTTAACGTAAGAGATTCTGATGAAATTGCTGGCATATAGCAAATTACTCATTACTGTATGTGGTATAATATAATTGCGTGATATATCGCAAATTGTGGTGTGTTGCAGGACGCGGGAAACTGCTGTATGGGTAGCGGTAGTGCTGGCGTAAGAGACGAGTCGATGCATTATTTTGCACCGTCAGTTTGACCGAATGGGAGTGATATGCGCTAGCCACATTGTAAAAATTGCGCCAAAACAAAAACTTTGATGTAAAAAATTAGCCGCTCCCGAAATGGAACAACGCAGAAGCAGGCAAAAACAACAATTTTTTGGGTTGGTGGCATTTCCCTAGATTTCGAGTGAAATCCATATATCCCTAGATCTTCGCTGATTTCCATAGAAAAGGGAAATTTCCCTAGCAGCGGTAACCCTGCACAGATCACAGCGAATCTGAAAATGAAGACAACCGAAACGAGCCGCGGATGATGGGTTCCTAGCTCATTCATGCGGTAGCAGAGGAGCGGGCCGTGAATGAAGGGGCCGTAAAGGTCGTGATGGGGTTAGCTGAGTCGGTTGCCACTGAGAAGCAGAGGCACGGCTGTATATCAGCTGTAGCCGCCGACTGGTGAATTTGACTACACTGTTTGAGTTAGTACATTCTGAAGCAATCGCTTAACTCGCAAATGCTGTCCCTGAAATATGTCGTATGCGTGAGGCGTTTATTGAATAAATACTCCAATTATCCGAAACATCAGATGATCGCATGGGTGTGGGACGATTTTGATTGGCTGCGAATACATTGGTTAAATCAGGGCACAGTCGCCCATAATCTGATGCAAAGCACAAGGACTAGTTGAAGCGCCATGCACCGCGTGACGAGTACCGTCCAACACGTTACCTCAGAAGCGGATCTAACCGTGATGTGTGTGTGTGGGGGGGGGGAGTGAGGGGGCACATTCCAGTAATTTGCAAAGCCGGATCCACGGACTGGCGATGGATGATGACCGGCAGCTAACGTTTATGAACGGGAATGGTAGTCACTTGACGGACGTTGTTAATCGGGCAGGTCGGTTGGAAACAATACCTACCTAAGCCTGCATGTTTTTGGCGGTGGTGGTGTTGGGGGGGGGGGGGGAGGAATCATGTTTAAAAGTGTTAGCAAGCATGTGCCTTAACCTTAGGACTTCTGTTGGATCCGCCACCATATTGCCTCAACATTACAGGTGTTAAAGCTCAATATGTCTCTTTTGTGGTGTTAGCTTCCTACTACCAGATGCGTGCGTTTAGAACCATGTTGCTTTTGGACATTTTCTCACCAAAAGTGTTCCAAATATTCGCCACAAACCCCATAGGGTGGTTCATAGAATGCTCCTTTAGGCACCAAACTGGTCAGCGAAGGCATTTATATCACGAAAATGGAACACAAATCGGGTTGCATGTGGAGACTTCGACGCCAGAAACTGATTTTCATCGAAACTTTGACATGATGCGGCAGGATGGGTTTTATTTCTAGGATCTTTTTCTTATACAGCTGGCCTTCTACCGTGCAGGAGCAAAAGAAAATCATAGGAGCACCATGATTTGAAATAAAAAGTTTAATTACGACACACCCTACTACCCAGTGCTCAATGGATTATTAAATTGACTCAATGGCCTTATTTTCACCAGAATTTTGTTTTGTTGCTTGTTTGTCCAACAAAATTGCTTGCTAAATTATTATTTATAATATTTATGACCTTTTTATTCCAAACCTGACACCCTCACATGTGCCTGCTGCTAGCTAATTCTTTCCTCAATTTCCATTTTGATGTAGGTCCCACTCCCTTGTTGCTGAATTAAATCACCACAAACAATTTGAAAGTTGACTTGTATATTTGATTTTGTATTCCATATTTTTGCTTACATCTGCCTGTTGTTGAAGTAGCCAATTGCCAAGCATTATGTAGCACAGACATTGGACAGATTCACATTTTTACTGTAATTTGCATATGGGCTTTTGTTGCTTTGGAATTCAGAGTTTGAATTTGGATTTTGTACACTAAGAGGTTATCAAATTTGAATTGTAATAACAACAATCTTACTAGCCACTGCAAAATACATTTTTTGGTAGAAATTGCATGGCAAAGGGGGGGGGGGCAACCTAGAATCAAGAATGCAGGTTTTGGGTATGCCGGTATTTTGGCGTTTTTTTTTTTTTGCTTGGGGCGTGGTAGCATGCCGGTATCCCAAAAAAATGTGGTGGGGCGGGGCGGTGCCGGTAGAAGCCTTTTGGGAAAATTTTGCAACTCTAATGCTGACACTAGAAATGGTGAGCGTTCGACTAGACAGGACAACTGTTTGCGTCTCTCAGCCGTGCGCACAGCGACGGGGCAGCGCTGTTTTCAGTACCGCGCTGCTATAGTTCGTTTTTCTTAAGTTTGCCCCTCACTGTAAACGTCTCTTTGAACACAGCACGAGAATTGCTAGCTGAATTATTGAGAAAACTGGTTAGCGCACATTGTATTGAAGATATGAATAATATTTTCAAAATAAGTGTTGAACACCGACGATGTAACGTTATGTTAAACGCCGTGCAATTTATCAATTAGTTCAGACATAATTCCTGAGAAGTCGTCTTTCTCTGTGGGGCTGTAGGCATTGGCAAATACGAGCTATGAGTCTGTGAAATAGTAAATAAATTTGATGAAATTGATCGTCTGTGAAATCTGGTCAAATCAATGTGCGCCAACCAGTTTTCTCAGAATTCAGCTAGCAATTCTCGTGCTGTGTTCAAAAAGACGTTTACAGTGAGGGGCAAACTTAAGAAAAACGAGCTATAGTCTCCTCAACTCCATGCCGGGAGACGCGAGAAATCTAGACCCCGTGGCATTTAAACGAGCTGTGAAACGTATTTTTACTCGTTGATGACTTGTATGCGTGACTGTGTGTACTGTGTGTGCGAATGTGTCATTATGTTTGTGTTTATGCGACATTGACTTACTCCTTTATTCATCTCTGACTAAGGACACGTAAAAGCTACGCGTTGCTGTAGAGTGTCTGCTATTGTCAAATATAGATGATTTTTTTTTTTTTTTTGGTGGAGAGCAATGGCTTCTGCGCATGCGCGACTTCAGTTGCTGCTCGGGAGGCCTAGACTGGCTACTTTAGCGCTGATTGGCGCCGCGGTACCATGCTGGGTGAGAGCAACCAAAGCCGTTTAAGAGAGGTAGAATCATCCCGCAATTTCCACTGGACCGGTCGCCAAGCATTAGCGTGACGTCACTGGTGGATACCGCGCGGCGATGGGCTCCAAGCCGTACGTCGGGTAGGTACATTTGGAACTTTATCGTTGCTATTACTGAACGTAACGACAACTAATGACTCAACTTTTTTACCCACCTAAAGCTGATTTCCTTGCCGATACATTGCCGACCCGAGCCCCAGGGTTAACAATCTTGAGATATGGGTCGGATGGGCGACCTCGCGACGGGAGAAGGAACGATTGCAATTGTTGTGTCCCGCACCGCCGATTGCATTCTCTATTTGCAACCGGAGGGGGGCAGGGGGCACGTGCCCCATCGGATCAGGGGGCCTCTCGGACCCGAGGGGCCCTGCGACGCCAATTGGCGGCTGAGGGTCCACGCTGGCATTTTCGACTCAGAAGGGCCCCACAGGGCTCGAAAGAACACCTCATGTGCTCCGAATAGCCACACAATAGCCACACTTCTCTCCATAAGAGCCACATACCGGCTTTTATTGCTCATTGTCGGCATTTAAGGACCCCTTGCCGGCCTCTCAGGGCCCATTGGTGACCTCTGAGGGCTACGTGCCGGCTTCTGAGGGCCCTTAACGGCCTATCAGGGACCAGCAGCTCTAAGGGTTCCACACGTGCCTGTGATGACCCCCTAAACCAATGGTTGAAGGCCCCCACAACGGCGCCTGCGAGGGCCCTCACCGGCGGCCATGTGAAAGCCCCAAACCGGTGCCCAGCTGAGGGCCCCACACTGCCACCTCTGAGTTCAACCGATACCCCTGAATGAAGTTCCAAAGGCCCAAACCGGTGCTTCTTAAGGCCATATATCGGCGGCTTTGAGGGCTCAACGCCGGAGCCTCTGACGGCCTAAGACGGGACCTTCGCATCGGACGGCCACTCACCGGTGACTTTTGAGGGCCCCACACCGACGACTCTGAGGGCCCCCACCGGCGTCTGAGAGTACCTTGCTGGTCTCTGAGGACTCCACAGGGCTCCTGAAGACGTCCGCAGACCTCTTGAGGGCCCCTTGTCGGTCTCTGAGAGCCCCTGTCGGCTAATAAAGGGTTCGAGCCAGCAGCTCTAAGGGTCCCACACCCGACTGTGATGACCCCACACTGCAGTGTCTCTGAGGGCCCACAATGGCAACTGTGAGGGAGGACCCTCACCGGCGCCTCTGAGGGCCACACACTAGCACCTCAGAGGGCCCACAGCGGCACCTCCGGGGCCCCGCACCAATACCTCTGAGGGCCCACACCAGTGCCTCCAAAGGCTTCATAACCGGCGGCCCTGAGGGCACTACACCGGTGATTTTTGGGGGCCTGCCGAAGGCAC